GATCTCCAGCACTCGAGGGGACGCCATGCTTCAAGACCACGCATTTCTGTGTGCCGGTGCGCTCGTTATAGAGAATCTGTATACCTGGCAGTCGGCCCTGTGGCTAAGTCGATGCGAACGCTTCGTAATGCCGGGGTGCCGGGTTCAATCCCAGCTGCGGGCTATGCGCCTTGCGTTGGTTTCGACAGTGGTATCAGGGAGCCGACCGTCCAGAGGGCAATGGCAAACTACTGGACGTAAATTTGCCTACAGAAACCACACAACAGCCAAGGGCTGCTGGAGTTGGTTCTGCAACGTCCTGTAAAGAATACGCAACTAACCAGTATACCTGACACACACTCTATGCTTGTCTAGTCCAGACCAGGTTACTTCGTAACCAATGGGGACCCACGTATAATTTTACAGTTGAATAGGGCCGACCATAATTTACACTTGAAGGATTCTCATCTCTGGGGTGTGTTAGGCTTGCGAAATGCAAGTCAGGAGGGCCCAAACTGCGACTGCAGTGCACAAACAGGATGGGGCGCCTGTAGGGGTGGTGGCGGGAATTGGTGGACCTCTATATGCGCCCATCTAGTCTGTGTAGTTGCAGTTTGGCCCCTCCAGGATGACAGTCCGTAGGATTAAGTGCGTAAATAAAAGACACGAGAATTCGAGAATGACTACTGTAAATAAGATAAGCATCAGCTGAACATAAATGAATTGATTTGATTTGATTCAAGAACCAACATCACAGCACTCGCGGCATTCCCGTAAGTGCTCCGCCCCATTTTCAGCAGCCAGCGAAGAGTTCCGATACTAGTGGCATTCTGATTAAACGTCCGTTTTGCCTTTCCTCTTAGCTTCGAGCATCTGCCAGAACCTGTCGTCACTTCCAACTGCATCAATCTCACCACACTGTGGTGATCAATTTGCTCCTCCGAACTGTACAAGCTCTCCCACAAGGCACTAACTAACCACGTCTGCCTTATCGTGCATCATTCCATCAAGCTGTGCAGAGCCAGCCAGTCTGTCCGACTGTTCATTTCCCAACACACCGGCATGACTTGGTGAAAAAAATCCAGACAATACTCCTCACCCGTGTCCTCCACAGCGAGGCATGCCACTCTGCACGAAGCATGCCTGTCCTGACCTTCCTCAGCATGCTTTCTGAGTCAGTTACAATCACGATGTGTGTGTGTATGTGTGTCGTGTTCTCTAGCCAGCGGAAAGCTGCAGTGACCGCCTCCACCTCCATTCTTAAGCTGGATGTTGTGGTATCATATGCTAGGCTCTCCTGCACCAAAAGTCGACAATTAACTTTTGCTAAGAAACCCCAAGCTCAGTGTGATTATGACGCTACACAAGTCTGACTGTTCAGGAGGCACTTTGACCCACTCCTCTCCTCGTCTAATGTTCTTAAGGATGCAAACCTGTCTGATTATGTCTTCTGCCTGAGCCATTCATGACTTCCCTCTTATCGGCCGCTGACCCTTAACTGCGTGCAAATGGTGGTCTGTGTCTGCAGCTACCCTGAGATATGACTTCGCCTGCAGCACCTTGTGTCCACCTGCAACAGTCGACAAACCAAGGATGTATCGCAAACACACCACTGGGGTGTCTCTGGTGCAACCCAGAATGACCCGCATTGCTGTGTTCTGTAGGCGCTCTAGTTTGTCCATCTGGCTCTTTGGGACGGTAAGCATTCCCATACCATAATTATAACATAAATTAACATAAATAAAAGACTGGAGAACAGTCAGCACAAATAAAAGACTGGAGAACTGTTGGAGAACATGTCAGCACAAATAAAAGACTGTAGAACTGTTGGAGAACATGTCAGCACACAAAAAAGACTGGAGAACTGTTGGAGAACATGTCAGCACAAATAAAAGACTGCAGAACTGTTTAAGAACAGGTCATCACAAATAAAAGACTGGAGAACTATTAGAGAACAAGTCAGCACAAATAAAAGACTTCAGAACTGTTGAAGAACAGGTCAGCACAAATAAAAGACTGGAGAACTGTTGGAGAACATGTCAGTACAAATAAAAGACTGGAGAACTGTTGGAGAACATGTCAGCACAAATAAAAGACTGGAGAACTGTTGGAGAACATGTCAGCACAAATAAAAGACTGGAGAACTGTTGGAGAACATGTCAGTACAAATAAAAGACTGGAGAACTGTTGGAGAACAGGTCAGCACAAATAAAAGACTGGAGAACTATTGGAGAACAGTTTAGCACAAACAAAAGACTGGAGAACTGTTGAAGAACAGGTCAGCAAAAATAAAAGACTGGAGAACTGTTGGAGAACAGGTCAGCACAAATAAAAGACTGGAGAACTGTTGGAGAACATGTCAGCACAAATAAAAGACTGGAGAACTGTTGGAGAACATGTCAGCACAAATAAAAGACTGGAGAACTATTAGAGAACAGGTCAGCACAAAGAAAAGACTGGAGAACTATTAGAGAACAGGTCAGCACAAAAAAAGACTGGACAACTGTTGGAGAACATGTCAGCACAAATGAAAGACTGGAGAACTGTTGGAGAACATGTCAGTACAAATAAAAGACTGGAGAACTGTTGGAGAACATGTCAGTACAAATAAAAGACTGGAGAACTGTTGGAGAACAGGCCAGCACAAATAAAAGACTGGAGAACTATTAGAGAACAGGTTAGCACAAAGAAAAGACTGGAGAACTATTAGAAAACAGTTCAGCACAAATAAAAGACTGGAGAACTGTTGGAGAACAGGTCAGCACAAATAAAAGACTGGAGAACTATTGGAGAACAGTTTAGCACAAACAAAAGACTGGAGAACTATTGGAGAACATGTCAGTACAAATAAAAGACTGGAGAACTGTTGGAGAACAGTTCAGCACAAACAAAAGACTGGAGAACTATTAGAGAACAGGTCAGCACAAATAAAAGACTGGAGAACTATTAGAGAACAGGTCAGCACAAATAAAAGACTGGAGAACTATTGGAGAACAGTTTAGCACAAACAAAAGACTGGAGAACTGTTGAAGAACATGTCAGCACAAATAAAAGACTGGAGAACTGTTGAAGAACATGTCAGCACAAATAAAAGACTTGAGAACTGTTGAAGAACATGTCAGCACAAATAAAAGACTGGAGAACTGTTCGAAAATTGTTGGAGAATAGGTGAGCACAAGTGCCAGCCAGCGTGAATTTGATAGTAAATTATTATTTCCCACGCTGTGTAACGACAGGAGTGATTTATTATGATAATAACGATAATTCCGACATATCGGGGTTCAAAATCAGCTGTAGGCCATTTATAGCAAACTACTTTGCGTTCTGCGGGCTGCGTGGATTTTTATCGTGGTATGGGACGTCGCAGGTCGACCCAGCCTCAAATGGGTACCAGGATGGGCTGTCCTGGGGAAGTAAAGACGCCGGCGTAATGCTGACCACATTACCCACCTAGTGCCGATTGGTCTGTAAAAATATGGGTGCTCTTCCATATGCCCGATGCGCCTAAGGGCGTGTAAAGGGATCTTCACTTTTTTTACTTTACTTACTTTGCGTTGATTTTGACATCGCCATAAGCGTCGTATCGATAAGAAAGCAATGGAAAACGGATGACAATCAAATTGAGTAGAAAATCCAAACAACAACCAATGTAAATACTTACTGAAACTGGTATGGGAAGTCCTGTACTACTGAAGATGAAACTTTACTTTGTAAATTGGTCAAAAACCACTCTGGTACTTCTTGTAAATAGTGGGCAGCCCCCCCCCCCCTCCCCTCCTCCCCCCAACTAAACCTCATAAAAACAATTCTTTATCGCTTGGGCAATCACTGGTAATAAAATAATTCTCAAATGATTACCTTAGCGATTACTGGCTATAAAACACCCCGCGTTCTTATCTGTAGCATCATCTTCCTGGCGCAAGCACAATACAGCAAATTGCTGACTGAGTGCACGCAATGGCACTGGTGTCAGTATACTCAATGGTACTGATGTCAGTATACGCAATGGCACTAGTGCCAGTAAATCAATGGTACAGTATACTTAATAGCACTGGTGTCAGTACACTCAATGGTACTGGTGTCAGTACACTCAATGGTACTGGTGCCAGTATATCAATGGTACAGTATACTCAATGTCACTGGTATCAGTACACTCAATGGCACTGGTTTCAGTACACTCAATGGTACTGGTGCCAGTATATCAATGGTACAGTATACTCAATGGCACTGGTGTCAGTACACGCAATGGCACTGGTGGCTGTATACTCAATGGTACTGGTGTCAGTACACGCAATGGCACTGGTGCCAGTATATCAACGGTACAGTATACTTAATGACACTGGTGTCAGTAAACTCAATGGCACTGGTGTCAGTACACTCAATGGTACTGGTGCCAGTATATCAATGGTACAGTATACTTAATGGCACTTGTGTCAGTACACTCAATGGCACTGGTGTCAGTACACTCAATGACACTGATGTCAGTATATCAATGGTACAGTATACTAAATGGCACTGGTGTCAGTAAACTCAATGGCACTGGTGTCAGTACATTAAATGACACTGGTGTCAGTACACTCAATGGCACTGGTGTCAGTACACTCAATGACACTGGTGTCAGTACACTCAATGACACTGGTGTCAGTACACTCAATGACACTGGTGTCAGTACACTCAATGACACTGGTGTCCGTATATCAATGGTACAGTACACTCAATGACACTGGTGTCAGTACACTCAATGACACTGGTGTCAGTACACTCAATGGCACTGGTGTCAGTATATCAATGGTACAGTACACTCAATGACACTGGTGTCAGTACACTCAATGGCACTGGTGTCAGTACACTCAATGGCACTGGTGCCAGTATATCAATGGTGCAGTACACTCAATGACATTGGTGTCAGTACACTCAATGGCACTGGTGTCAGTACACTCAATGGCACTGGTGCCAGTATATCAATGGTACAGTACACTCAATGGCACTGGTGTCAGTACACTCAATGACACTGGTGTCAGTAACTCAATGGCACTGGTGTCAGTACATTCAATGACACTGGTGTCAGTACACTCAATGGCACTGGTGTCAGTACACTCAATGGCACTGGTGTCAGTACATTCAATGACACTGGTGTCAGTACATTCAATGACACTGGTGTCAGTACACTCAATGGCACTGGTGTCAGTACATTCAATGGCACTGGTGTCAGTACACTCAATGGCACTGGTGTCAGTACACTCAATGGCACTTGTGTCAGTACACTCAATGGCACTGGTGTCAGTACCCTCAATAGTACAGTACACTCAATGGCACTGGTGTCAGTACACTCAATGGCACTGGTGTCAGTACACTCAATAGTACAGTACAATCAATGGCACTGGTGTCAGTACACTCAATAGTACAGTACACTCAATGGTACTGGTGTCAGTACACTCAATGGCACTGGTGTCAGTACACTCAATGTCACTGGTGTCAGTCCACTCAATGACACTGGTGTCAGTACATTCAATTACACTGGTGTCAGTACACTCAATGGCACTGGTGTCAGTACACTCAATGGCACTGGTGTCAGTACATTCAATGACACTGGTGTCAGTACATTCAATGGCACTGGTGTCAGTACACTCAATAGTACAGTACACTCAATGGTACTGGTGTCAGTACATTCAATGGCACTGGTGTCAGTATACTCAATGACACTGGTGTTAGTACATTCAATGACACTGGTGTCAGTACATTCAATGACATTGGTGTCAGTACATTCAGTGACACTGGTGTCAGCACACTCAATGGCACTGGTGTCAGTACACTCAATGACACTGGTGTCAGAACATTCAATGACACTGGTGTCAGTACATTCAATGGCACTGGTGTCAGTACACTCAATAGTACAGTACACCCAATGGCACTGGTGTCAGTACATTCAATGACACTGGTGTCAGTGAACTCAATGGCACTGGTGTCAGTACACTCAATGGCACTGGTGTCAGTACACTCAATGACACTGGTGTCAGTACATTCAATGGCACTGGTGTCAGTACACTCAATGGCACTGGTGTCAGTACTCTCAATGGCACTGGTGTCAGTATACTCAATGGCACTGGTGTCAGTACATTCAATGGCACTGGTGTCAGTACACACAATAGTACAGTACACTCAATGACACTGGTGTCAGTACATTCAATGACACTGGTGCCAGTACACTCAATAGTACAGTACATTCAATGGCACTGGTGCCAGTACACTCAATAGTACAGTACACTCAATGGCACTGGTGTCAGTACACTCAATGAAACTGGTGTCAGAACATTCAATGACACTGGTGTCAGTACACTCAATGACACTGGTGTCAGTACATTCAATGACACTGGTGTCAGTACATTCAATGACACTGGTGTCAGTACACTCAATGGCACTGGTGTCAGTACATTCAATGACACTGGTGTCAGTACACTCAATGACACTGGTGTCAGTACACTCAATGGCACTGGTGTCAGTACACTCAATGGCACTGGTGTCAGTACACTCAATGGCACTGGTGTCAGTACACTCAATGGCACTGGTGTCAGTACACTCAATGACACTGGTGTCAGTACACTCAATGGCACTGGTGTCAGTACACTCAATGGCACTGGTGTCAGTACACTCAATGGCACTGGTGTCAGTACACTCAATGACACTGGTGTCAGTACACTCAATGACACTGGTGTCAGTACACTCAATGGCACTGGTGTCAGTACACTCAATGACACTGGTGTCAGTACACTCAATGGCACTGGTGTCAGTACACTCAATGACACTGGTGTCAGTACACTCAATGACACTGGTGTCAGTACATTCAATGGCACTGGTGTCAGTACACTCAATGGCACTGGTGTCAGTACACTCAATGACACTGGTGTCAGTACACTCAATGGTACTGGTGTCAGTACATTCAATGACACTGGTGTCAGTACACTCAATGACACTGGTGTCAGTACATTCAATGACACTGGTGTCAGTACACTCAATGACACTGGTGTCAGTACACTCAATGACACTGGTGTCAGTACATTCAATGACACTGGTGTCAGTACACTCAATGGCACTGGTGTCAGTACACTCAATGACACTGGTGTCAGTACACTAAATGACACTGGTGTCAGTACACTCAATGGCACTGGTGTCAGTACACTCAATGACACTGGTGTCAGTACACTCAATGACACTGGTGTCAGTACACTCAATGACACTGGTGTCAGTACATTCAATGACACTGGTGTTAGTACATTCAATGACACTGGTGTCAGTATATCAATGGTACAGTACACTCAATGGCACTGGTGTCAGTACATTCAATGACACTGGTGTCTGTACACTCAATGGCACTGGTGTCAGTACACTCAATGGCACTGGTGTCAGTACACTCAATGACACTGGTGTCGGTACATTCAATGACACTGGTGTCAGTACATTCAATGACACTGGTGTCAGTACACTCAATGACACTGGTGTCAGAACATTCAATGACACTGGTGTCAGTACATTCAATGACACTGGTGCCAGTACACTCAATAGTACAGTACACTCAATGGTACAGTACACTCAATGGTACTGGTGTCAGACTCAATGGCACTGGCTGATAACCACTTCTGACAGACAGGCCAGTGGCGTGATTTCAGCATCCAACGATATTATTCACTTTGAAGAAAGCCGGCCGATTTCACGTGATTATCACTTCAAAGAGAATTAAAGCATCAGAACGCATACAATAGTGGTACTTTCATTTTAATGGCGGAGAACTATCGCCGTGTTGAGCCATTACATCTGCAAAGTCACAGTGCCCTGAACTGAAGTGAACAAATTTTTGTCTTGCTGCGTTTGCTTTCCCGTCAATCCATGTTTGTGATTTTGTCAAATATGTCTTGTTAAATCTTTCTATGTGATGGAAGTCCGAACATAATTCCATTCCGAGACGGACGGCAATCGAATTTCAAATTGAGTTCTAAGGCAATTAGTACTGAAAACTAAATTAACCCATTCCATGGTTCAACAGGAGTGGCCGTGGCTGAGCGGCTAGACGCTCGCCGCGGATCGAAAAGTCGTGGGTTCGCTCCCTGGCGGGACCAGACTTTTTTCAAAAATGACCTTGGCTCCCAGGTCGACCCAGCCTTGAGTGGGTACCGGGTGCAGTCCCTGGAAGTAAAGGCGGCCGGCGTGATGCTGACCCCATCACCCAGCTTGTGCCGATTGGTCTATAAAAATATAGGTCTAGCCCTATACGGCTAAAGGCGTGGAAAAGGGCCCTTTACTTTACTATGGTCCAACAAATTCAAACTGTGTACCAAGTCATAAACTGCCACACAGATATGATTTCAGGAATAACAAATGGTTGCTTCAGATCATCAAAGGCGTTCTTAGGTACACGTTCAGGCCAACGATTTTTCCACACTGATTTTACTGTCTCGAAGACTGCGATATCTGTGCTTTTTGGTCCACAGTTCCGACTTGTTGATTTGCTGGGGGGGGGGTGGGGGGGGGCCGTCCTGTTGAACCAAAATTCCTCGAAGGGACAGCTTTAGGTTATAATTGTGACTAGGTTATGTGCTCCATATAAAATGGCTTAGCACTGCACGCCTCCAAAAGCCCTCAAAAGACTCCTGCAGTCAAATGCGATTAAAGGAGACCGACCTAAATACTGTCCCGACCGGCGACAAAGTCGTCTACCGGCGAGCCAAAGGGTGACCCTGTCGCCATTGCTGTGACGCTTCGACTTCTGCAGGCATTTATTGTCCGGGTTAGCCTTCCCAGATAGTGTTATTTAATTCAGTATCATCAGTGACCATGGAACATCGTTACAACATTATCCGTACACTTTCTTAGGAAAACAAACTAAAGCGTAGGCTGTGCGTGCAGTGTAGTAGCTCGTGGCAGGCACGTGCCAAGCATTGTGTTTCCAAGGCAGCGATCAAGTTCCGAAGCAAAATTTACTTGAACATTTCGTTTAAATTATAAGTTGTTCAAATTTTGAAAACGTTCGAATTCCGAGATACCACTGTTTGGTTTAAAAATGAATTTTTTAAGAACTGTTCCAGCATATCCACGAGTTTATGTGTGTATGTATATGTGTTTCTCTGCCTGCCGCTGATACTTGCTCTGTGTGTGAGTGTGTATATAATACGTTTGTTTGTGCGTATGTATATGTGTTTCTCTGATACTTGCTCTGTGTATGTGAGTGTTTGTCTGTGTGTGTGTGTATGTTTGTGTGTGCGTATGTATGTTTCTCTGTCTAACACTAAAACTTGCTCTCACCCCCTTCCCCTTACTTGTTTGTTGCTCGACTTGATCAATAATACAACAAAAATCACATGTCTCAATTGAGTAGGCTGACGCACTATGGCGGGTCACAATCCACAAAGTAACGTCAATAGGACGGCAAACACACGCCAGGCAAATAACATCAGATTTGTGTACACAGCCTCCAAGCAGAAAGCAGTAAACACTGTTGATAGACAACAATTGCCTGGCTCTATGTCCATGAGGCACAGGCAAACAGATCGCTCCGCTGGTCGGCTGTCAGAGGGTGGTCCAGAGGGGATATCGGTAGGGTTGACGCAGAGGATGGACGCATAGAATGACATACAGATATAGACAGATTCACTGGCCACACAGACAGACAAGGGGAGAGTAATTTATAAGACAGACATATGTAATTCACCAGACAAAGGTGTAACTATTCAGCCAGACATACAGAGACAGAGAGACGCAATTTATAAGACAGACATAGGTAATTTAATAGATAATAACTATCCAGCCAAACATACATACAGAGACGGGGAGACGTAATTTATAAGACAAACATACGTAATTTACTAGATAAAGATGTAACTATCCAGCCAGACAGTCTGATGGAAAGAGATCACCAATCGGTGATAGATAGATAGATAGATAGATAGATAGATAGATAGACAGACAGACAGACAGACAGACAGACAGACAGACAGACAGACAGACAGACAGACAGACAGACAGACAGACAGACAGACAGACAGACAGACAGACAGACAGACAGACAGACAGACAGACAGACAGACAGACAGACAGACAGACAGACAGACAGACAGACAGACAGATAGATAGATAGATAGATAGATAGATAGATAGATAGATAGATAGATAGATAGATAGATAGATAGATAGATAGATAGATAGATAGATAGATAGATAGATAGATAGATAGATAGATAGATAGATAGATAGATAGATAGATAGATAGATACATCCCACTCCAAGACGTGGAGTCGTACACCTATTTAGGCAGTAATGTAGATACAGATGGAGGAACTGATAGAGATATTAAAATAAGAATACAAAAGGCAAGAGGGGCCTTCATAGCACTAGGGAATTTGTGGAGGTCAAAAGAAATTAAAAAGAAATACTAAACTAAAAATTTTTAATTCTAATGTCAAATCAGTACTATTGTATGGGGCGGAAACATGGAGAACAACGAAGGCAATTACTAATAAATTACAGACATTCATTAACTGGTGCCTGCGCAGAATAGAGGGAATAAAATGGTATGATAGAATAACTAATGTAGAACTTTGAGAGAGAACTAAACAGGCTCCAGTGGATCAGGAGGTGAGGAAAAGACGCTGGCGTTGGATAGGGCACACACTGAGAAAACACGAGAACAGCATAACTAGAATGTCTTTGCATTGGAACCCACAGGGGCATAGGAATAAAGGAAGGCCAAAAAACACATGAAGAAGAGAGCTGGAAAATGAGGTTAGAAAGACTGGGAGGACATGGGAAGAGCTCCATGTAATGGCGAAGGATAGAACGACTTGGCGTGAGTTGGTTGAGGGCCTATGGTCCATTGGGGGATAGAAAGGCAGAAGAAGAAGAAAGATAGATAGATAGATAGATAGATAGATAGATAGATAGATAGATAGATAGATAGATAGATAGATAGATAGATAGATAGATAGATAGATAGATAGATAGATAGATAGATAGATAGATAGATAGATAGATAGATGGATGGATGGATGGATGGACGGACGGACGGACGGACGGACGGACGGACGGACGGACGGACGGACGGACAGACAGACAGACAGACAGACAGACAGACAGACAGACAGACAGACAGACAGACAGACAGACAGACAGACAGACAGACAGACAGACAGACAGACAGATAGATAGATAGATAGATAGATAGATAGATAGATAGATAGATAGATAGATAGATAGATAGATAGATAGATAGATAGATAGATAGATAGATAGATAGATAGATAGATAGATAGATAGATAGATAGATAGATAGATAGATAGATAGATAGATAGATAGATAGATAGATAGATAGATAGGATAATTCTTTTAAAAAGGACTGCTTCATCAATGGGAAGATTTTGATTTTGGATGGTTCCGAAATGTGAAAATATCCCGCGTGTGACCATAGTGGTCTTAGATTTGTCTTCCTGCAATAATAACGGGTTAGTCATGTCGTGGGTATGTGTGTGAAATGTTAGGTGAAGCCTCAAAGCGGTTCTATTTGTCATTTGTCATTCATGGTCATGGTTAGGTCATATTTATGGCCCGGCTATATTCAGGCCCCCGGCAAAAGCCAAGGTGGGGCTTCAAAATAACAAAAAATTGCATCCCATGAGGGGACGACTTATAACTGGCAGAGAGAAACTGGCAGATATTTGATTGGTCATTGGCTTTAGGGATGAAAAGCTCTTTTCCACTAGGAGCTCGGACCACAGGTTTTTTTAAATTTAATTTGTCAGACCCACTGCCTCCCCAACAAGCACGTCGTAAGAGTTGACTAACTGGGAACCTCCCTCAAAGTCGGAGTGCGTCTCCCTGAGATGCAAGAAACCAACGATCTGCACACACATGAGTCAGATATGTAAAACGGATGCGCACGCTACACGCAGGTTCAAGAGAGAACAGCCAGTACCTTCCACCAGATTTTACAGCTGGTGAACGCGAAGAAGAAGAATACATTTATTCGGCCACCGATACATTAATGCATCCAGACATTATTCAGTTAAAATCCCCATTTCAAAGACGTGCACTAAGAAGGGAGTCCACAACCCCCCCCCCCCCACCCCCACCCCATAACGACAGACCAAGCAGATACACAAATCAAAATCATTCTTTGTTGCCTTTCATCTTCCTGTGAAACATATGCCTCCAATGATACACGCCAAGCACTTTGCGGATCTGGTTCAATGCAGCTAAAGTTTATTATCTTCTTCTTAGCGTTCATGGAAGTAAGCTCTCGAGCAACCTTCCGGTCGTTCGTCCAGTTCTGGACCTCTTCCTCCTCCTCCTTAGACGGGCC